GGATATAAGACAATGCATCTTCTAATGTAATAAGTTCTGAAAAAATAAAAGTGTATATAATTAAATAATACTGCAATATCAACTTCCCTAAGGAATATACAAGGAGCATAAACTCATCTATTTTATGATATTACTTCTTGCTTATTTAACTTATTGACTAATTCTATGATTTGAAGCCGGACATTACTTACCTAATTGCTCTGTGGTTTCCCCTTTTTTTGAGGTAAAAATAAAATTGCTTGCTGAAACCTCTTAGTGAGTGTCAAAACTCTGTTGATTGATTTCTGGAGGAGTTTCACCCACAACCTTAGGTGGAAGTACTATCCATTTCTGTGGTTGTCGTTTTTCGCTTTTCTGGTGAGTTTGTTATATCTTTAAAACATCACTTACTTCTTTGGTATCATGCTATATTAGAAAATATAGAAAGAAAAAAATCTGATGAGAAATACTTCTCAGTAAGCAAGACCAGGTAAAATTAGAATTATGATTGTCAGATGCAAAGGATGCCAACAGCTAAGCTTGTTGTATATAAAGGAAGGTACATAGCCAAATCCTTCTCCAAATTAGCATACCTTTATCAAAAAAACTTGTGTTTTAGGCAGCCTACTACACTTATTAGGAGTCCTCAGACACTTGTGACAACTTGTTGGGGATGGAACACAACATGAAGTACAAGATCTGGTAAAATAAACACCTAGAAAATTTGACCACTGCCCACTTTTGGAAACAGAATGCAACAAGGGGTGCAAAATCCTATACCAATCACACTTATCTTTTTCTTTTTTATAAGCTCCTTAGAATTTGATGAACTTCTTTCATATAATTTTGGTCATTTTCAATATCTTTCAATGCCTTATAGAATGTGTTATGAATAGTCCTCTTATTTTTATTTTCATCATATTCAGTAATTATTACAGAAAAACGTTGTAATGACCATGCTTTTGGTGGAAAGAATTCAAAATACTTCCTGTAAGGGATAGATGACTTAGTTGTGGAAGTAAACATTTGTATAAGAAATTTGGTTTTTTATCATAACAAACATTCAATTTGTTCTAATTTGTTCTGTGATACATTTTTATTATTAGTCAGGATTTTTACCATAGATGAAAATTGATTCTAGAATGATCTACATAACTTTAATTGGTTCCTGCTAATTCATTCCCGTTGTAAAAAATTTCATGTTTCATGTGACCTTACAGGAAAATTCTGTTTGTAATTTTAAAACATATTGTAAATATAAATAAATAAATACTCACATTTTAATAATCACCAAAGAGTTTGAATTAATCACCCAGATTTCAAAAGGTAAATGAAAGCTAAAAAGAGGAAAATCTTGTAACTTTTTACAAAAATTCTTATTAATATATACTAATAATTTAAAAAGTATTACATCAGGAAATTTTTTCTGATGCAGATTTACATAATTATTACACTATGTACATAAGTTTATGACAGGCCCATAATATTATGCAAAAATCATACAAAAATTATGCAATTATTACATTTAGTTTAAATATTACATGCAAATATTACAACTTTACATATTAAAACTTATGGACATAATATTATGGCAGGGAAAATTTCCTGATGCTATAAGAGGAAATAGATAGTATAAAACTTCCAGTTTCAGATTAACTATAACTAAGATCCTCCATTGAGTTCTGGATCTCAAATATATTAGTTTAAAAAAGAATGTTTTGTTGATTAACTTTAAAAAAGAGTAATTTCATTAACTAATTTCTTATTAATAGTAACATAGGAATATGTAGAATAAAACTTATAGATTTATTTAATGTTTATACTAATACAATAATACAATTTCTTCCAATCTACATAACAACAACTTCCATGAATATGTATTTATGCTTTACTCTCAAACTATCTTTCACAAATACACCTGATTTTAATTTTTGAGGTGAAATCTTTTTTTTTTGATTTTCTCAAAATTGTGATTTTGACATTGGATGTGTTTCTATTGTCCACATCCCATACTTTTAAAATTAAAACAAATGTTTTAATGCAATTTTTGTTTATTTTGTAGTAAATCACTACATCACATAAATAAATGATTATTCCATGACTCCAGGTTTTTATTCAAACAAAGTTTATTTGGATTCAGTCAGCAGAGATTCTGTAGAACTTTCAATTCCATACACTATTCTTTTTTGTTCTGTACATTTTTTATTTTTAATTTTGTATGGATTTGTGAATTCTGAAAAGTTTATTGGTGGGAGGCCAGTCTGTATGATCTTTGATTCCATATTTTGTTCCCATACAGAGCATGATTTACTATGGAGGGCACAGTTGTATGGAATATGGAACCTGTATATACTCATTTGGATTATCTGTTTTATTTCATTATTCAAATTGCATTAATGTTTACTCAAATAAATGAAATAAATTGAATAAATTGAATAAAACAATAAATGAATAAATCAAATAAACAAATAAATCAAATAAATCAAACAAAACTAATGCTTATTTATTGTTATTATTACTACAGTCAACCAGCATTGAATTTTCGTTGTGTAACTAGTATAATTTGAGATATTACACATGTAAACTTGATAATTCAGATTTGGCCTAACTCGGACAAAATTTTTCTCTCCTTTTTTTCAATATTTAAAAAAATTTGATAAGTTGGACAACATATATAAAGTCATGATAAGCCATAAGTCAGACAACTTCTTTAACCAGATAGTAATAAATGACTCTCAATAAGTCAGACCATGTGATTTTTCAAATATTGAAAGATAATCTAGTAAATACGCAATTATATTTTAGAATAATAATTTCTTCATTTTCGGCATCATTTATAATCTTGTTTTGTATCCGACAATGTTCATATTTTATTATCTTTTTTATATCATTCAAATGAATTAGAAAATGAATTAGAAAGTGAAGAAAATGCAGCTCAATTAATTATCAGTCAAATGAATATTGGATATCATGGCAAATAATTATATTAATACTGATGACAGAATAGAAATTGCTGAAGTAGTTGATGAAGAAGAGATAATTTCTGCAGTACAAGAGGCACCAGAAGAAGAGGAGGAGGGAGAAGATATGAGGCGCGGAAAATAGAAAAGGATCTAACAGCAAAATCATGATTTTGAGATAACTAAAAAAAAGAGATATTCAGTATTCATATATCATTTCCATATTTGTAGTAAAAATAGGGGGATATTTTCCAAAATAATAACAATAATATAAAATAAAATAAAAATAATTAACACTGGTTACCCAACATAAAAACCCAAAAATCCATTGTTAATTATAATACTATACTGGTTACCCAATGTAAAAACCTGTTGTTAACACTATACTGGTTAACCAATCTAAAGAAAAACAAACAAAACATTCGCTTTATGCCAAAGCAAATACACAAACCCTCTGAGTTCTATACCACTTGGATAACTAAATAGATAATTACCCTACTGTTTAATTTCCAACCAAAAAAAATAAACAAAAAAGAAAATTAATTTGTTTTTATTAAATTATACAAAAA